GGCTGTAGGTAGAGGTAAAGTGGACAACAACCAGTGGCTGTGAGCTCTGGTGGACCACAGTCAGTTTCACCGAGGGAGGGGAGAGGGTGGGGGGCTTGGTGGCGGGACAACGATTCTGATTGGATAACCTTTCACCTAGAACTGTCAAATCGAGTTTGATGAAAGCTGGTATCTATAATGTGTGTAATCCCATACAACAGCCTTGCAATAGAAGCTGCCATAATGAATCTCATACTGCTCTTTCAATCTCTTTGAGGATCTGCTTTGCTGTGTGGTTAAATCGGACTGCATCAAGTTGACAATGCGTTTCTAACATACAGCAGTATCATCCACTTCTGTTTATTTAATTTATGTAAATGACAGTGTTGATTATACTTAAAAAATGTATACCTGACAGTTTTATTTCTGTTTTGCAGACCATCATAGAGATTGCTCAGGACTTACCTTAAGAATGACAACCAAGCCGTAAGTATTTACTTAAAAGTGTCATCTTATCTATTGAATGCTAAAATAAAAACTGTTATCAGACAGAACTTGGAACTTTCCTGCTTGTTCAGTATGAGCAGCATGGTGTTCAGAAGAATGTACACATCAATACTGAGCCTCCTATCCTCTAACTGTGGACTTTTGTGCCCTCCTCAAAGGCAGCCATTTTTTGCGGGCATATACCTGCTCATGTCTATGGACACAGTCATCCCTCCAGGAAAAAGAGGTATGTTTGGTTTGTTTTTTGCTTGATTTAAATTTGTGACACTTGGAAATATTAAATTCCTCTTATCTGAAGACATCGTCATACCTTCTTCCTGAGGTTTTACATCTATTAAGAAATTTGGTTGTGTTGTTGTTTGGGCAAGGAAAAGTTAACTATTAAAGATTTATGTTAGAGCTGCTCTAAGCATATCCACTGGATAATTTAAGCAAAATTTGTCCAGATTATTTCTCCTGGCTCACTTAGACTTGTATTAACACCAGTGTTCAGTTCAAACCAAACACCTGCTGGGAGCTTTCAGTGCAGTGCTTCATTTGACTTTTCCATCAGATCTGTCATAAAACATCCTAATCTCTAATAGATGGACTCATGTGCATCAAACACAAATATTCAAACAAATATAATCTGACTAAACTTTCATCAATAAGAATATCTCATACCGTAGAGCAGAATGTAATGACACAAACACATTCATCATTCAGGTGTTTGTGATGTGCATGACTGATTAAAAAAATCATCTCTGTGGAGAGGGCACAAGTAGAAAAATACATAAACAATAGCAGAGGGAAAAATTGTCTAATTTAAAAAATATTTTATAGTTTTTCCAGCTTTTTGTCTCTCAATTTCTATCTCTACATATAATTTCAAATATCTATTAATTTAGGAGCAAAGGGCAGTCAGTATCAATTAAACATAGTATTGGACTGGTAAGTTACCAAGCTCTAACTGTAAATAAATAAGTAAATAGATGAACACATCCGCAGTTTGTGTATAGCACACTTACTACCCAAACCATCCACATGATCCACATTCAAATGTAGCTGTGAAGCACATTAAAGGACAGGAGGGACAGAGATGTGCTTACAGTGGTCATAGATTGGGCCTTCCTTGACATCCTGTTATTTTTCTTTGTTAGTAACAAATGCAGACATCGCCTGTGATTACACTTCATATCCCATCTATCCGTTTGCCTTCAGGACCCACACACATCGCCTTGGTGAGTCATACTAGAGAATTTAGGAGTCCATTTCAGAGTAGCTTCTGTCAGTGTCAGCGGTAGTCTGGAAACGTGTTTCTGTTGCAGGTAAAGTGGTCAGTGGCTACAGGATCCGAGATGGGAAATGGAGCCTGATTGGAAGGCAGTCCCCTCAGCTACCACAGGTATGTTGTCAGATCAGAAGGCAATTAAAAAGTGACATTTTCACAGCATCCCAGTAGCTGAATATTTAAAGGCATATGCCATATACCCACAATGTCCCTGGTTCAAGTCGGGCCGAGCCCATGTTTGCAGCCCATGTACATCTGTGGACAAGCACAAACCATGACAGGACCTTAACACTATGTCTACACAGGATACAAACAGCAGCAGCATCTTCAGTGCTCCACCTCCATCTACACAGGATGTGTTCAGGCGCGGTATTGAGATCAACCCTATTTTGGCAGCACTCAGCGCCAAATAGTCACTGTAGTTGTGTAAAATGGAAGAAAATAGTCCTGAAGCATAGCAATATGTACTGCTAGTAAAAAGAGAGGCTTTAAACAGACTGTGTAGACAGCTGGATTGCTTAGAAGCATATTGTTCCATCAGACATCTGAGAGAGAGATGATGGAATGTGGCTGAAATGCTTTCTGTAGACACATTAAGATGGAGAAGAATTGGGCTCTGATAAATGGTACAGGATTCAGATTGAAATACATGATTTTACATTTTACACCCTTTTACATACTAGCTTGACTCGGTGGCTTTGCTTGTTTCTGTTGTTTGTGCAAAGCTAACTAGCTGCTAGCACCAGCCAAACTTATGACTGCTCTGTTTATAATTCTAAAACTCTTAAATATTTGTGATGACAGAATCATGTCATGTACAAAGATATGGGCCCAAATCAGAGTGCCTGTGATTATCTGTAAGCTGATTGTTCCCAGTTGTTTTAGGAGTTAGTAATTGTCAGTTTAGATGTGTATTGTGACTAATGCACCTGAATTCAAGCAAGAATATATTGATCACAGTCTCTCAAATAGTGTTGTTTGCATTGCTCAGCAGCAAATGTGTTTTCTCTCCAGGCTTTTTATCCTGCCAGCAAGGAGGTGAATGTGACATACGGTGACATGCTTGCTGCCAGGTGTATGTTTACTGGTGAAGGTAAAACCTCCAAAACTTACATTGGGTGAGTTCTGTTATAAATCTCGGTGCACCAAATACATGGTTACACTGCATTTTAGGTGACCTATATCTCAAAAGTACCTTTTAATTTTCTATGGTTTTAATGTAGGTTAACAGTAAAAACTAAAGCATTATAACCAGCCACTCATATGCAGAACAGCACTGTGTTAAAACAAGGCAAGGCTCTGTCTTGTTGGGGTTGTGTTGTTTTACTTATCATGAGATGATGAAATATGATTCAGGAAGCCCGGTTTGAATGATATATCTTTTTAAGGACTTGTCAGACACCAAAACACAGCACAGGGGTTTATAATACTGTAGATAAGATTTTACACCCATGTTATGATCAGCTCAAAGGCCACAACAACAATAGGGAGATTAATGGGAGATTAACAATATTAAAACAACATTTATTCAGTTATATTGTAAAAAGCAGGCATAAGATGCGGAAGTCAGTGTCAGTGGTGTAAGAGATGTATGAATGCATGAGAATGTGTGTGGAGTGTGTTGTAGTTGCACAACAAAACCAAGAGATTACACTCACACAAAACGGAACAAAGTGGTGCATGGAGACAAGCACGCTAGTCCACAGGGAGGGTTTTATGAGCTTGAGAGCATTGGCCAAAGGCTCCCAATCACCACTCAGTCACCTTAAGGTAAGTACAATCCAAGCCACAGCTGATCAAGTAAGGCCTTTGAGTAAAGCCTCAGTTCACATTCCACAAGACCTGCAGGGAAATGAAGTAACATCAGTGACTAAGAAATGGCAACTTTTTTTTTTTTTTTAAGAACTAGAGAAGGATAGAGAGACAGACAGGGCATACTGGGTGAGAAAGTACTCTGACAAGTTTGGTCTTTAAGCAATTTGTGAAGAAAGAGGGATCTGGCTGACCGGATCAAGTTTCTTATCTCATTCCACTACTGAGTGAGCACACAGGAGAAGAATTTGGATTGAGATTTCCAGCCTCACAGTGATGGCAGGATGAGTCGTTATTCATTTTCAGGTGGCAGTGAACATTGAGGCTCATACACCCGAATGAGTGTTCAGATAGGTGAATACTGTGCCAGTGGCCACTCTGCAATTCAACGGTCATAATCAGTGACTTGAACTCAATATGAGCCGCATCAGGGAGTCATTGGAGAATAATGAAAATTGGACTGATGTGCTGTCTTCGGTTGAAAACCGAATGTGCTGCTGCATTTTGGACCATGTGCAGAGGTCTTACTGTGCATGCTAGCAGCCTGGAATCACCAGGAATTCAGTCTTAGAGCAACGACGTCTCTTATTTCTGACTACTGAGTACTGCACTGTTTCCCTTAGAAATGTTTTTCAGCAGCAGTGGTGGAAAAAGCTTAAACTGACATTTGAATTGTTACATAAAACAAAGCAATTTACCCTCAGGCAAGCGGTTTCCAATTCCAGTGTAATGTGTTTTTTCATCTAATCAAGTAATGTTTGTTCCTAAACCTAACAAAATAGTTTGTATGACAAAACCGTGATAGTTTCATAACTATAATGGTATTTTTATGACAGTTTTTATGAATACTGAGTTCCAGTATGCTTGCCATCATGCTCATGACTGTTTCCATGATGAAGCAAGTCTGTAAAGCTTGCCATTGTGAAGTGTGTTGATGTTAATGCTGGTGGAGTTCTGCAATTCTGCCTCTCAGCATAGTAGCGCTATTTCAGAGGATGCTCTTATGAGAGGGAAGGGAATGATTATGGGCCCTAAAAGGTGATGTCATTGTGTGTGCATGTATTTGTTTATGGGTATCTAGTTTATCAGCAGTGTGTTGAGGCTTTAATGATACAGATAAAGCACCTGTCTTTTTACATCCTCATAGTAATGTGATGTATTTTTCTCAAGCTTCATTTGTTTTGTGTGCAGTGGGACCTCTAATGATGAAATGTGCAACTTCTATATAATGTACTACATGGACAGCAAACATGCAGTCCCCTACATGAACTGCATGGAGACGGGCTCTGAAGAGCTCTTTCAGCATATTCCAGCTGAGGCCAATGTTCCCATCACTGTCACTTCAGGTCATATGAACTCCATGATGCATATGGGACACTCAACAGGTACAAAGGCATCAAGTACTGTTGCTCTAACCCAGAGTTGTTCAATTTAGCATTTTTACCTTTTCAGTTGTCTACAGCATGAAAGTACAGTATGCTATTGTAAGGTGCACACTCATTTTTTACACTGACCTCCATGGCTGCATTCTGGTCTTGTTTAATTCTAAGATAATTGACATTTTTTAAAAGAATATATCTAAACTCTAAGCTTTTTCCTTCCAAGATCACCAAGACCACAGATTGCAGTTGGATACAAACAAAGAAAAGCAAGTTCTGGATCAGGGTAAGTTCAAGGACAATGAGATGCACAACTGTGCTATTATAACTGCTCAAGTGTGTGCACAGTTTTTTCCACTACACAAACTCCTGCGTGATAATAAGACTGAATTCCTATATTATTCTAGTTGTATTAATGTGTGATATATGTAAAGAATTCCTGCCCCTGAAACATTTCTGCATTTCCCATTTCCAACCAAATTCAGAAAAACTGAGAAGCACAATCAAAATGTCTATCGGTTGTTTTAGAATTAGATTTTAGATGAAAAAAAAAACATGTCATTCCATATTGTAATTTTGCATTTTGGTTTATGTTGGCTGGTTTGTGATTCCACATTTATTTGTGTTGTGGTGAATGGCTTTCTGTGCTCATTCCACAGTAGCTCTGTTGGGTTCAGGTCTGGGCCATTCCAAATAGTGGAATTTCTTTGTTTGAGCTCATTCTGTAGTAGAGTTACGTCAGTGTTTGTTTCCCCTCATTGATGGCGAGCTAATGATGCTCTCTCTGTGCTTCACTGTTGTCATGTTGCATATATGCACCGTGAGTTCGTAAACTTACAGTATGAACAGAGATGTGAGCCACTTCCCATGATTCCTTTAAGGCGTTAGCTGTTGAGCTTCTTTACCTCACATAACATTCTGAGCTGTCTTTGGAGTCATCTTAGCTGGGTGCCCACTTCTTGGTAGAGCAGCCACAGAACTAAATCATCTCCATCTGTAGACAGTTTGTCTAACTGATTAATATCTAAACTCTTCAATGACTTTTGGTTTGGATTAGCCTAGGCCTTTGTACTTCTTCAACTGGACTTGCTTGAGGTTCTTGAAGATGTTTCACCAGGAGCTGCTTTAGTTCTTACTAACTAATGGGGAGTCACAGACTTTTCACCTCTGTGGGGTGGTGAACACTGTCTGCTTCCCTTCTTCCTTGTGTTCTACTGGTTCTGTATTACATACCTGTTTTTGGACCATCTGCCTGGGTTCTTGGACGTGCCTTGTTTGCATTGCTGATCTGTTTCTGACCATTTATTCTTCCTTACTCCACCATCTATTTTCCTTGTTTGGTTTTGCCTGCCCATACTCTGAGTAGCTTGTTTACTTGTTTATTAAAGTATTCTTACTGCATCTGCTAGCCAATCTATCTTCACCTACATCCTAGTCATTTTCACTGTCTCAGCTAATGTAGGAATCAGGAGCTTTCTTGTCAGTCATAGTGACGTCTTCCACCAGCTTGAAGTCTCGGTGTGAGATGAGTAGTAGACTAGAAGCTTGGTCATGAATTGATTGACAGCTGTGAGGTCCCACCCCAGACTTTGGTTTTCTCTGATTGTTTAGAAGTGTGACGGATAAATAAAGTGTGCTGATATAATTGCGATTTTTAGATGAGAAGATCCAGGTTATTGAGACACCATTACAATGGTTAATGTATTTATCACAATTTAATCTTCTGTACTCACAAATATTAAAAACAAACTAACCTTAACACTAAAAGGGACCTATTTTAAGATCCTGTGAGCAAAAAGACATAAATTCAGTTAAGAGATTTTGACTGTTAAAAAACAGTAGAGCCAGAAGATGTGGAATTTAATGTCATGCTAAAATAGGGATTTGGAATTTGAACATTCAGATGGTCTAGCACCTTCACTGCAAACATCTAATTTAATACTAATGACAGTGTGAACAAAATAAGAGCAATAATAGTAAAAGGCTGAAACCTATAAAATGAGTGATATGTCCATGAATCTATTACCCTGGTGCATGCTGGGAGAGTTTCTACCTTATATATGGTGAAACTATGGATGAATGAAGTTTTATATATATAGAAGTAAATCCTTGTACAGTCATATTCTACAGTACCAGAAAAAAATCTTTTGATAATTCTCTAGGTTGTATTCTTTAAATCTAAGAATAATAAAGACTTGATCATTTTCTGTGGACAGTTTCTTCTAAACCATGCTGTATTTTTGTTCCGATTATTTTGTTACTTTTGTTTTTCACATGTAGGCATTATAAATATACCTGTTATATTAATCTGTCCCCATCTTTACAAGAAAAGCAAAAGTAAAATAAGTTCATTGTTCCTGGGTGTGAAAACATATTGTTGTTGTTGGTCAGATTGCCAGCTTTAGGTTAGCACATCCTGAAATCCTGCCTAAGAGAATACTGTATGTGACATCTAGTATAGGTCGGTATGTGTAGGTAGAATGGACATCAGTAGTACAAGATCATATGGGTGTTTTAAGGTAACAGTATAGACTATACATTACATTAGGTTGTATTACAGTAGCTAATACTGGCCCTCTTTAAATAGCATGACACTCATCATTCCTGTCTAACACCTTTCATTCTTCAGAGCCAACGTTTCACAGCCCCTAGTTTCCTGCTAGGTACTGTCTACCAAACACTTTAAAATTATAGGCTATGTCATGGACAATAAACAATAATTGTATTTTATCTTTATGAAAGAAATATTTCACCAGCCTTCCTAACAACAACACTGCGCTAGTCCCCTATAGCAAGAATTTACCTTTAGTCTACAGTCTTCTTGTCCTTTATTTCCCTTCGTTCCTGTCCTTCTCTGTCTGTCTGTGCAGGTGACTTCTATTCTCTTATGTCCAAGCTACTAGACCAGAGTAAGGATGTAGGTCACATTCATATATACAACCCCAGCAAGATGCAGAGAGCCCAGGCTGAATTGATGGATCAGTTTGATAGCTTAATGCAAAAGAAAGACCTGGTCTCTCCTAGTGTCTCACTAGCCTACCAAAGCAGGGGGGATCCTGTTTTGGTGAGGGACAGAGTCCACAAATTCCATCAGCTTGAGACCACAGCCAAGCCACCAAGAGACATGCTGCTAGCTGAAGGACAAGGTGGGTCCTGGATGCTGTTGTACTGTATGTCGTTGGTGCTGTAAACACCCCCTTTTTGTTTTTGCTTGGCCCGGTATTCATAAACTGCAACACATACACGTGTTTGGACACCCCTTCAGCTTTTGCATGCAAGTTGTAATTGTGATTTTTATGAAGTAAATAAAACCAGTGGAATAGAAAATCAGTTTCTTTTCAGAGTTTCAATCCTGCTTTTTTTAACTAGCTGTAACACTCTTCATCTTCTCTCCCTTCGTTGGCACATTGCTGCATGTCTTTCTGTCATTTATAGATCAGTGGAATAATATGAAACAGTTAGCAGGGATGTGTATTTAATCAGCCGCATGTGTGTATGAGTTCTCATGCACATGCAAGAAATGGAGACCCACACATGAACAAACAGCTTCATAGCATTACTACAGGTCAAAAACTCTACAGTGAGCCCTTAATTCCTTTGTAGCGTGAGTGAGTGGGTTGATAATTGTTCTGTTAACACAGGGGATGGTGTTCCAGAACAAAACGACTAGTCCGAAAACAGTTGTTGCATTGAGTTAAAGGGCTCCCCTTGTTATTGGAGAAAACATGAGGAGGCGGGATCTGCTTCTACCTTAATGGACGTGGGTGTGCACAGGGTTGGAAGCTCTTTTCATTAAACTGCAGACCTTTTGGAGTGGTTTTGAATCAGCCACCAACAACAGGACATCACTAGTTACAGGAAACCATTTCCCGACACTGCTGACCACCATGAACTGGTAACCACTAACCTGAGTGTATATCAGGCTGTGCTGACATTAAACTATAGAAGAATATTTTACCCAGAATTCAAAAGAAAATGCCCAATTTCCAGTTTTGTGGCAGTGGTTTTATCAGATTTTAAGGGGAGAGGTAGCTGTATTTAGGTAGCTAGCTGGCGGTAGCCCTTAGTGAATGAGGTCAGACTCGGCTCCCAGACTGTGCCGGACTAATCAGCAGGCTGCTGCTCTTTAAACCACCCCTCCTAATTTACATCAATGGTTTGAAAATGAAAATGGGGCATTTTTAAAAATGGAGAACAGAGTTTTCCATTTGGAAAATGGTAATTTTCCTTTTTCTTTTTTATTTCAATTTTGGGAAAAATATTCCTCCATATTAAGCCGGTCTAAAATTTGAAAAGCTGTTTTGTTGTTGTTTTTCTGTATGTGTAAAAACAACTTGTGTCCACACTAACAGTAAATGAAATTCACTTGTGAATGTTTTATGTTTGATTTGTTACTGGCTACAGAAAAATGACATTTTCTTGTTTGTATTTAGTGAGCGAGAGAGACAGGTGAGAAAGCCAAATGAATCGGACAGGGAGATGTCATTCCCAGAAATGATTTCTGGCACTTTTCATGTGAACATTTGAGTACAACAGTATGGATGTTTGAAAGTGTGTACGATCACATTTAATCAACTGTCTTGCCTTTCTGTACAGACAGTGTTTCCACACTGCTTTCATGTGTCGCTCTTCAGAACAGCTTCTCGATGAGCTTGGACAAACATGTTATCTGGCCCTTGGACTTCATGTTCATATGTCAATAACAGAAATCCTTTTGAGAGAGGTAGTGCCAGTGTGCTAGAAATAGAGTGATTCACCAGTTTTGGTCATTTGGCACCTCATTGAAACATTACGCTTGTTTGTTCATCTTGGGGTTTAATTTGAGCCACAGATACAGTAATTGCCACAAAAAAAAAAAGAAAAAGATGTCTGTGTGAAGCCTCTTCTGTTAACAGTTACTGGATGCCAGCGATGAGATTACCTTAATTCATGGGTTTGTGTGTGTCTGTCTCTGTGTGGTGTAGACTACCATTTGGAGCAAGTCTCATCATGGCCACAGAGTCCTCTTCAGCTGGGTCAGGTGTCAGGACTTGCCCTTGACTCAGAGTCTAACCTGGTCATTTTCCACAGAGGTGACCACCACTGGGGGGCAGAGTAAGTTACTTTCACTTGTGTCACATCCACACATCACATCTGTTGATACAGGGATTCTGGCAGTCCTTGAAACTGAAAGATCTTAACATATAATGTTTGAATGTCATTTGTTTATCTGGAGAGCTCATTACCACCACCTCTTTCAGCCATCCATCAGATGACATATAATTCATGACTGGCAGACAGCACAGATTTGTTTTGAAGTCCACCCCACAGTTCCTCATTTTTAGGCTTGTTGCCAATATATTTCCAAATTTGCTCATAAACAAAAGCTGATAATCTTACCAGGGCACATGGACAAAAATGACGGCAATAATAAAACATTATTGTTGCAATTAGATAGAAGGTACTTTATGCATCTTTTAATAGTTTGTGATAATTCATGCCCATATTGCCTTTGCTAGTGGTTAGTGAACTTCTGTGGGCTTTGTTTGCCTCCTTTGGTTTCTCGTTTATTTCCCACTACTGTTAGTGGATGGCAGAACAGTTACTATAAAGCTTCTGTCAGTGGAGCTAATGTGGCATGGATGACAGCTGGGTGGAATAAGGACAAGCACTCCAGAAAAATAAAATCAATGAAAAAAAATATCTACACTCTCGGTGTGGAAATGCCAATAAAATCTGTCTTTTCATATATTTTTCAGCTCTTTTAACAGCCAGGGCAGATACCAGCAGAGGTCCCTTGGTCCTATCCAGCAGTCCACTATTTTGGTTGTGGACCCCTCCAAAGGCAAAATACTGAAGGCTTCTGGCAGAAACATGTACGCTATAGTGTACTTTAGTTGTCTTTATTATGAAGGTGACTGTACCCTCATTACAACTAGAGTGAAAACTGTCTTGTAGTGATGCATTTCTCTGATGTTGCAGGTTTTACTTGCCTCATGGAATAACTACAGACAAGGAGAATAATTACTGGGTCACCGACGTGGCTCTTCATCAGGTACTGTAGCTACTGTAACCTCGTTGAGTACGTCTAACCACTGGCTCTGGATAAGCTACTTTAGGCAGCCGGTCACTTATGATTGTATTAGTTTTATGGATAATGTAACCTACAGCTTTCCTAAAAGTATTTACTCATAAAGTGAGTAAGCAGTGAACTACAAAAGCATGACATATTTATAGTGGCGCATGTATTGTACATAAGTAATATCAGTTACATCAAGTTTATACGTGGATTCATGTCATATTCATATTAGAGTGGAAACTGATCATTATTTGACCTGTAGTAATATATTTCTTTAACAGTGTGTAATGATGGCCTGCTAATGATTCAACCATAATATGTGTACACATGTAAATTATAATTATATTTTTTAATTATAAGTAATGGTTCTACACCATTAAATAGTGTAAGTCATTTGTAAGCAGCCGTTCCGTTGCTTGAGTATTCAGAATAGATTGAGGTGCATATACAGCTCATGTCTATGAAGACGTGATGCAACAGGACCAACAAAGAGTACCCCCTCCTATGCACTCATCAGGTGTTAAAAGTGAGCAGTGACGGCAGAGACAGAACGTTGCTGGTGCTGGGAGAGGCTTTCACGCCAGGAAGTGACAACAACCACTTCTGCCAGCCCACTGATGTAGCTGTTGACACTGAGACTGGGAATATCTTTGTGTCTGATGGCTACTGCAATGCTAGGATAATGAAGTTCTCTGCTGATGGCACCTACCTGTCTGAGTGGGGCGCAGGTAGGAATCCAACGCTACAGACACACATACATGCTGTGTTACTATCACTTCAGTGAACATGACATTGACCTACATCCATTTCCTGAATATTTGCCCTAAGCTGAACCTAATAGTGATTTTTACATCAGATCAAAAATTATAATATGTAATTAAGATGTCAATATAAAATGAATGCATACCATACCATTCATAAGTAAAATAACCAGGTGAGTAAGTCAAAATTACCATTTGATAAATCACCAGTTACTCAGTGAGCTAGATTAGTATCCAGAAGTGAATCAATAGGAAATTAATCTTAGTAAGAGTCACTGAATATTCCAAGTCAAATCGGGGTTTTGAGGAATTAACATTCAATCATGAGCAGATTAAAAAATATCAAAGCCAAAATAAAAAATATACTGTAGTGGTATGATGAAGTGTTTTAAGAAATCAAATAATAATGAAAATACTCCAAATGTACTGCTGCTGACGGTAGAGTACCCTTGTTTGCATTAAATTAAACTTTCTTTTTTTTTTCCTGCACTATAAACCTGAAAACTAGAACTTTTTCACTCAGCCTTTTTCTTAAGAGTTTTTCTTTATCTGGCTCTGATATTGTGCCACATAAATAAAATGTGAATTGACATGGAATACACCATAAATGGATGTGCTGTGATTAGGGATAGTCTGATTCCCAGTGCTGATTCTTTTCTGGAATTTCATCTTTTTTTTTGTTGTTTCTTGTAGATTTTTGTTTCATTTTATAGTACTTGGTAACACTGCTATGGACTATTTCTGGTAACACTGCTGTTTTCTTCATAGAAGAATCAGCGTATTAATAATGTGTTAATTCGGTAGGTTACACATCACTAGCACCAGTGCATGCAGTCTGCACATGTTCATCTATTTTGTCTGATTTATCTGACTGAAGGCTCATCAGACAGGAGGCGGCGCGTACCGTTCCAGATCCCCCACAGCCTGGTATTCCTCCCTGACAGACAGGAAGTTTGTGTGGCTGACAGGGAGAATGGACGTATTCAGTGCTTCATAGCAGAAACTGGAGAGTTTGTCAAGGAAATAAAGAAAGAGGAGTTCAGAGGGGAGGTGTTTGCTATCACCTACAGCCCTGCAGGAGGTGAGCTGACACATGGACATTAATCATATCTTGTCCATTTTTCTTGTTCTTTAGTTTCCCTGTTCCTTAGTTGTAATGTGGCTGACTGTGGCTATAGAGCTTTTTAAATGTTATGTTGCTTCTTCCCATCACTGAACTATTATTCTCTTTAATCCCACTTCAGTCCTAATGAAACTTTAAAGAGGTCCTTTTTTAATTTAAAGAGGTACTCATCAAGCAGAGAGTCTGACAAAGATGCCACTGAATTACATTAAGGGAACGATCCAGTGTTTTTGGAGCTTGACTCGTATTAAGTGGTAAAATTCAGGATATATTTGCTAGAAGGTCTAGAATACACCATTTAATAAATGGTCTTATTTAAAGGATTCCCTTTGTATTGTGTAATCAAAAGAGCTTAATCATTTCTTTTGGGTGTGTGTGTGTGTGTGTGTGTGTGTGTGCATGAAGGTGATGGCTTGATCTTTGCAGTGAATGGGGAGTCTCCATATCACTCGGCTCCACTCAGAGGTTTTGTAATAAATTATTCGACCAAGGATATTTTGGACACCTTCAGCCCAAACACAGAGGTAAACACATACACACACAGACACTGTATACACAGATGTGCGCTCTGTCTCTCTCTCATTCCTATATAGACTGTACTGAACAGCTGGTGTAGGTTCTGCATGATTAGAGACAGCATCTCATAGAACCACTAGAGCCAAACGTCCTCAGTTATTTTACCTACTGACACATAATCAAGATTACATGTAACGGTTTACTCAGTCTGTCCAGCTGTGCATTTCTTTTAAACTGGCCTTGCTTTACTTTATCTCAGTTATCAGGTTGTACTAGTTTTTCAATCACTATGCACAGTCATTAATGAACATTTGGAAAGCGCATCACTTTAACAATGTCCAGCATCTTCAGACTTCTGTCATCTGCTTTAATCTCACTGAAACACGGTACTTACTTTTTATTCCAGAAACATTCAGAGTTAATATTTGCAGACCGTGGTGGGTGTCACTTGGGCTTCTGTCTGTACCAAGTACCTGTCAGAGATGTCTGTGGTGAAAGATTTAAAATCCACACCATCATATCTGATAAGGAATAAGTCATCATGAGTGTTAATGGTGATATACAGTATAAGCCATTCTTCTTGCATTTCTCCATCATCTCTATTGAACATATGTTGACATTTCATTAGGTCCATTTCTTTCTGGCTGCACAGACATCCCACTGTTATGGGCTGGGTCTTTGCCCTGCTTTCGTGCACCACTCGGACAGTGGAGTGAGGAGATAATATTTTTTTTAATAGTTGTAACTGCAGCTTTTGCATTAAACTGCATTTTCCTTCATTTGCAGGCGTTTAAAATGCCTCATGACATAGTTGAAACCAACAATGGCAGTGTCTTTGTCGCGGATGTAGGCAGTAAATCGGTCTTCAAGTTTGCCACTGAGAGTAAGTTTAGCTTCACTGAGAGTCAAACTAAATGCTCAGATGCACAGAATCCCACTTAACATGTGTGTATGTGTTAAGTAAAATTTTGATTCACTGTTTTCCAGAGTTTCATCGCTCTGTCAAGAAAGCTGGAATTGAGGTTCAAGAATTTCAAGGTGGGTATTGTTGAGTGTACAGATTTTCAGATTTACAGATTTGCTTCTGATGTTCATATTTGCTGACTCTACAAGGCAGTGGTAGCCAAAGGGTTAGAGAAACAAATAATAAATCAAGGTAAAAAAAAAAAATGGGCAGCGCACACTGGCAGCATATAACACACATCAAAACACCTGCAACCACTGTTTTCTGAACAAGCCCTTAGTTTGTCCCAGTGAAACGATGTATCTCAGCTGTTTCTCCTGATGTTTCAAGATGTACATCAGCATTCATAAAACAGCATTCTGTCCCCATTCAGCTGACCGCCTCTTCCGTCCATCTGGTGCATGTGGTGCGTGCTATTAGACATCACATGGCTCAACACAACTGATGTGTGTTGCACTTACACACACTCAAACTAGTACCAGCTACTCGCCAGCAGTTTGACAGCCTCCCCCTTGGCTTGTATTCATTCTTGGTTCTGAGACGTCTATTCAATAATTACCAACCAACTTTGGATTTCTTTACCTGAATGAACCTCCCACCTATTTGCATTTCTCCTCCCATCTGTACATTACACACTGCACACTGTGCTGAGCATGAAATTACCAGACAGAGCAGCAAAGCGAATTTCAGTGCAAGAAAAATGGCAAAATAATGGGCCAGGTGGCCGCCAGCCAGGGAAGACTCAGGGTTCAGGTCCATCGATTTACCAACTCTGACAGAAAATTTTAAGAAAGAAACTGGAGCTATGAAATATCAACACATATGAGTAACATAGCAGGTGATTGTGGTATTTTTCAAGATAATGTCTGCTGCTTATACTCCAGTGTAATCTTTAAAGTCAGAAGCTTTATCAGTAATCTTATATTTGATTTTTGAAAAATGAAGATTTACCGTAATTTCCAGACTATTGAGCGCACCTGAATATAAGCTGCACCCACTAAATTTAAAGCGGAAAAACAGTTTGTACATAGGCGCAGGTGTCCACGTTGTAACATGAGATATTTCGACAGCCAGATCGATCGCCTTTAACTTGAAAGTTGCATCAAATGCATTTTGTCATGTGTTTTCCATGATGAGGGTGTGTGCATGAAGCGAAAAAAGTAGCGGCTTATAGTCCGGAAATTACGGTATTTCTTTTCCAGAGAGAATAAAACCAATCATGTACTGACTGTGATGAAAGGGGCTCTCCCAAAGAGTTATTCTCTTCCTCTGGGCAGTACTAAACTATGGTTGATTTTCAGTAGCTTCGCTATAATTAAAAACCTGGAATCATGGAGTGGCCGCCCTCTTCATCCCAACATTTCTCTCTGTGTAGAAATGAAGACATTTGTCCAAACTAAGATGAGGCCAGAGCACAACATGTCAAAGACGTCAGCTGTCCAAGAGAAGCAAACTGTGGCTCAGCTGCCTCAACCACAGGAAGAAGCAGAAAAGGAGAAGAAGAAGAATGCAGCAAGCCCAAACAGAGAGGGTGTATTCCCAGCTATCATTACTACACTGCTGCTCATCCCTCTGCTGGTGGTCATTGCCATAGGAGCGTTAATCTGCTGGAGAAGAAACAGTATGTATGACAGTAACACCCTGGGGCAATGTATGTATGACTAGCTTTAAAGAACACTTTTTTCAGGTTTGTCTATACAATGCCTATATGAATATGGAAGGGGTTAATTTATCACTGTAAGCTCAAATTGGCCCCCAGAAGATCATTTCTTAATGCAATTTCACTGCACATTCCTTCTCCTGAGAAGTGATGAAGCAAAGAAGAAAAATTAGGCTCGTTAAATGTAAAGAAAAAGCCAATAAATGCACTGTTATATATTTATTTCATGTATCAGGGCTTCTCTACAGTACACAGACATGTAAGACAGCACAAATCAAATGTACGACTCGTTTACTACACAAAGAAGAGCACCTTCCAACTTTAAAAGTGCCAGCTTTTATTTTCCATAGGAAAATAATAGAATACTAAAACCCATACACACAGCGCTGCTCTGTGTTCTTGTTTACTCTGCATTCAGATCAGTATTCTAAATACCGTTGAATGTTTGCAGACCGATGTGAGGTGAAAACTGACCCCAGCTCTGCAGGAGGGATTTTGGGAAGAATAAGAGGTAAGTCATTTATTACTTTAAAAATAAAATGCACATTTAGATCCAGATTATAAAACTTTTTACACTTTAAAGTTAATGGAGGAAGCAGTCTCCTGCTTCCCAGTTCTCCATGGGTTTTTTAACCAGTAACCAGCACACTGAAAAAAAGTGAAACACGTTGATGACATTGTTGGTACTGTATGTCTGACGGCAGTAGATGTGTTTTGTCGGAGCAGAGGGTTAGAGGCACAACATATCCCATAAACTACAGATGGATGAGAGGCCATACACCCAGTACCTTATATCTGTAGCATAACAGCTAATGAGCTTGTCATTTTAACTGGTGGTAGTGACGGCCAGTCTCGGCTAATAATGAGAGGTTGTTAGCTGAATGTTTGGTACACTGCTGTATGTTAACAAGAGAGGAGAGAGAACACTGCACATTCTCTTAATCGGTGTATTCTGACAATCTCTGTGGAGGAACAGAGTCACTTTCTGAACTGAAATCATTTTGGCTTGTCCCTAAGTAACATTTTAAAAGCAAGACTTTTACTTGTAACGAAGTATTTTTACAATGTGGTATTACAACATTTACTCAGTTAAAGAATCCTAATAACTCTTTCACCACTGAGATGAGCTGTGTAACACTGGCAAATGAACTCCACATTAACATTGTGGAGATTTGGAGGTGTGGCAGACCAGAAAACATTTGTAAACATAAAAATATGATTCATTTCTATACTGACCTTGTTTTTACATGGAGGCTGTGTACTGTCAATATTCAAATGCAAATCTTCTCATGGCCATTTTGAATATTGGAGCCAAAAATCTCCCTTGAGAAGGAAACATCTGTCTAGTGATGTGTTCTCCTCTGTGATGTTTTCCCTGCGGCCAGGTAAAGCAGTGGGCAGTCTAAATCTGGGGAACTTCTTTGCGTCCCACAAGGGTTACAGTCGTCAGGGCTTTGGCCAGCTGAGCACTGAAGGTAGCGACCAAGAGAGGAATGACGAGAACAGTAGCGACTCTGAGAACGAAGAGTACTCTGCTCTGCCACCTCCTCAGTCCTCCTCCTAGATGCTCCGGGGCCAGTCACCAACCTTCAGCTTACATTGCCAAGATGTATGGTATTAATCATGTGTGCAACTGTTGTGTTAGCTGCCAAACTTATTGTTTATATATTTAAATATATACTGTATATAAACATTGTTGGCATAATTTAGACACTTTATTTAATTTACCCGTGGTCTTGATACAGCCTTGGTGACATGATTCACACATTTGTTTTCCGCAAGTCACACTTGCATTTAGTGAAATTATTAGTACAAACCATGGGACAAATGTTTGAAATATCTGGCATCAGATTCAGCTTTAAGATGAAAAGAAACCTGCTAATAGGCTGAGAAAATTCAACATTTTATTCATGTAGTTTTCCTTGTTTGAGAGATTTAACTTTTTAAGAGTTTTAGAAAGGTGAAGAAAATTCTACATCATTGTCAAAATAAGCTATTTTGCTTTGGAAACAGGTAAAACAAATCTAAGCCCATTGCTGGATGCTTATTTTAATACATAAGACAATTAATCAAATTTCACTGAATGACTTTTTTAGATGGGGAATTGTTCATCATTAGGTTAGATTAAATTAGATTAGATTAAATTCAACTTTATTATCATTACCCATGTACAAGTACAAGGCAACGAAATACAGTTTAGCATCTAACCAGAAGTGCAATAACAGCAGTGCAGAGTGCGAAGTATCTACAGTCTGTACAGTCAGAACTAATTTACCGATAGATATGTACAATTGATATTTACAGTAAGATGTGTAAGGTAATGTATGATATACAACAGACTATGGATTCAAATGACAAGTAATGGGCAAGATACATTAAGTTTATAGAACACTGGTGTAATGGGTGAGATGGAGTGAAACAGTGCAGAATAGGAAGACAACAATTAGTTACATAAGTGAACAGTTCAATGGATGTAAATAGTGCAAAGATAAATATACAGTATCTGCATATGAGCAGTGTGCAGATGAATACAGAGCAGTATCCTGTGCGTAGAGTATGTGCACATTAACAGATCACTGCAGTGTTACAGGTAACAGAAGCGTATTGCATTAGTCCCATTAGGGAGGAGAGATGAGAAGGATCATGCATACTTTACTCAAACCAACCTGTTAGAAACCCCTAAGGGCGCTGTTGTCATGGTAGCACTGTGGCCAGCACAAGCAGCACAGTGACAGTTTGGCATTTTCCAGCTGTTTGCTTGAATCCTTCTGATAGACGTTTGCTGAATCCCATCCATCTGAAGGTAACAGGACATATGTTACTAAATCTGCAACCTCTGACTGTGCCATACCGGAGAGTAATGCCATTATACACAGCCATAAGCTTTACCTTGATAACAGGCTGCCACAGAATAACCCTAGCCACCTCCACATACATCAGGCTGGTCAGTTATATTCTGCTGCATTGCCAGTCATTTTATTCCTCTTTATGAGGGATTACTCAGAAAGTGAGTGGCATTTCAGGATGTGACCATTTACAGTATAAGAGAGTAGAATTAAGGATGAAATAGATATTGTCATCTGAACAGCTTTGGCAGCTATGTTTTAATTCTTTCAGTTGCCATTGTAGTAATTGTATAGTTAAAACAAACAAACAAGAAAAAAACACAGCATCTGCTTCAGGCTGCAGATTTGTAATGCTACGTGTTCTGTCACTGCACCATCCAGACAACAGTATGCTTTCCTGGACAAGTGTTTTCCCATTTGTTGTTGTCATGATCACTGTGACTGGCTCAGAGCAGCGATGTGATTGACTGAGAATGTTTTGATCCTCTGACCTATATTCACCTTCACCCAGCCCTTTTGCACTGCTGCACATCTGTGAACCAAAACAGTAGCTGAGCTTGGAGACAGCCGACACAGTCAGAATTACAACTTTGTGCTGGTCACTGTGCTTGTTCCATTAAAATAGGGCCTTATAAGAAAAACTGGAAACTGCGGTTGTCACCTGTTGACTGTACAGGTTGACTGTTTATTTTGCTGATCAGTGTTTTGACTCTGAGTCAGAAATGGGTTTAAACAGTGTTTTTCATGAAATTCTAATATTTGAGTTCAGAATTTATTAAACAAGCTCCTTTATGGGAATTTAATGATTTTATAGTAATTTTAGAAATAGCTGAAGAGTACTATTGTAGTATATAATATATAGAGTTTACTGGGAAAGCAGTAAAGCTACACAGCATAGCATTATATCAGCAGAACCGTTTGGTCCATGTTTTAGTTCAGTAGCATTTCTTGTATTTTGTGCCTTTTCATGTCTGTATTTTGCCTTTCTTCAGCATCTGCCATTACAAAATGTACCACAGAGTGAAAACTGCTGCTGCTGCTAGTATGTATTGAATCTTCTTCCATTCAAGTGAGCAGAAAATGGATATAATGTGTGTGTGTGTGTGTGTGGTTATGTCTGCACTACCAATCAAACTTCATTCATCAGCCATGTCACAAGCATTGTTAACTGTTAAGATTTAAAGCCCCCTAACTTCAGAAGGTGCAAAGAAAGGCGAAACTGTGAAATGAGAAATGTTCATCTTACATGTTGCAGCTTAATAGAACCACCTCAGTCTGTTTGCAGGTGTTTAGCTCCTATGTACTTTATATTTTTGCTGTCCATTTTAAATGCATGCTGTATTTTCTAAACTTTATTGAGCTCTGTAATCAATGACAGTTGTTTTTGTTGTTTGGTAATGCATTTTACATGTGACATAGTTTGAAACATCTGCACTGCATCAATTAATATTGTGAGCTGCAACCACAAAAATGTAATAGTTTATTAATTTAGCAACAAGTTTCTCAATTACTTGAGCAATTACCTCATCTATAAAATATCAGAAAATCTTTTTAAAATAGCCATCCTTATTTTCCAGAGCACAAAATGAAATATTGGAAGATACTTGCACCAACCATAGACAGAGTGAGAAAACTAGAAAATATTTGTATTTGAAAAGTGGAAATTAAAGCATTTTGGCATTTGTACTTAAATGCTGATATAAAGAATTATTGGATACAAAACAAGTTGCACATTTCCTGTTGATCAAATTGAGAACGAAAGGCAAAAATCCTGCACTCACTTTACTAACAGCGTTTTGGTCTCAGATCTTAATCAGGCAAAATTCCCCCAATCCAGTGGGTGTGACCCAGGAAACACTTGCCAGTCAGAGGAGTCGCACCTGAGTATTCATGTGAATTAGAAACTGTGAAGTGATTAAAATAAACATAGTATTGAGGTCATACCAAAGTAAGCACACATGGAGCTTTTGCTAAAGAGATTACAAAATGAGACCTGTAATCAAGTTTATCATTGTCAGACGTCACTAAGGATGATCAAAAAACAAGACCAACAGTTACCACTGTGATAAACTAATACCTGAGATGAAGTCATGCAAATTGTCAATATGACTTATTTGTAAACAGTCCCCTTTGCAGGTGTGACTTGTATCCTCTGGCAGGTTTTACCCAGGTGAGACCCCCTGGTTGATGTGTGGTGCTACTTTGATGAGTTTCGCCTGATGGAGGTCTGAGTGATGGACATTGTGCAGAATTTTTCACATTACTAGTTTTAGTTAACATAAGGGGTAAAACATGCAGAACAGCTGGTATAGTCCTTTACATGTTTATCCTTGTTGGGCTGTCTTCAAGTGTATTTCAGCAAGATAAAGGATCAGTAACCTAATCCACTTCTAATCCCTTACAGATGCTGAAAAATCCATTAAAATCAACTCTCAAATAGACAGCAGCTCTGTTACATGAAGCTATGGATATTGGATTAGACAGTGTTAAAGGATTGTGATCTGGATTAGGAAAAAAATTTCCCCCCACTAATTAGGTGTCTGATCAGCAAGAATCTCAATCAGTTCCTAGAAATTTTAACATTCCACAAAAATGAATCATGTTTGATTTTTATCAGTTACTAGTTTATGAGTAGAATGAATGGAAGATGTTAAAAGTATGGTCACCCAGATGTATGGCACAGGTTGTTTATCAAAGAAGGTTGTTCAGTGAAATCTGGTTGCAACGGTTCACAGCGCATGCACCTCATAGAAATACACACAACGATGGCGGGATGAAAAGTCTGTTGTGTGTCCACTTAGAATATTCTGTTTCATTTTGTATTCTCAGGTGTCATTTCATTAGTGCAACCTTTCACTCTCAGATCTTCATCAAAGTCACGTTGCCATAATGTTTGAGTGGTTTCCTTTACAGCATGCCATAGAATTTGCTTTTCTGATGTTGCTGTCACACGTGGGCTGTTTGATATTTATTGTGACACACTGGTTTTGCTGCAAGAGTACTATTTTTAGTCACTATGTTATTTGTGTAATAAAGTGTCTGCAAAGCATCACAGTGTCATGGAGGTTTTGTGGGATCAGACCATAATTATGGCTGCAATACAGACATGTCATATTCATTATTATTAAAGATAAAATACACTCAGCTGTAAACCTGGGCACTTGTATTGTAGCTACTGTCCCCACCCAGCAGGATTCAAACCCCAACCAAGGCCTTTCCTCCCACAGTTGGGCATCTTTTAGATTTTATTTCACCTGTCCTCCTTTAGAGTGGAAAGTTATGGCCACTGAATAAACAGGCTTCACACTGACATCACTAGTGGCTCATAAGATTACACGTAATAAGCTGCTTATGTTGAGAATAGAAACAGTAAGAAGTGGAGCAGTCTGAGATGCACAGACAACGTGGACAGTGTAGAAAAGCAGAAGCTGCTCTGTCTTCTTTATATGTGTCACTTAAAGATTTGATAGACTCCATCAGGACTTGACACCAGAAGGTAAGTCAGCTGTTTCTGAAGGCACCCCCAGAGACCCAAGATTTTTTAACATGCATCCCTATAACATTGTAACCTTCATTAGCAAATTATTTTGAAAGCATCAGATTGACTGTTTATAGTTTTTAAAATTTGTATTAAGACCTAAGTTCAGTGTGAACCTACTCGTGATTTGAGAATGTGCTTTTTCATGTTTTGTATAAAAATAGATTAATATGCATTATATAAATATTGTATTTTAAATACAGGTTACTGTAATAGTGTAATATACAGTTTAAGGGAAAGTCTTTTTTTATTTATCACCAGTGTTGATTGAAACAAGATGAACCCTACTTTTGAACAGCTGCTTAATTAGGGACCTGTCTGCTCTTTTGGCATGAACAGTACAGGTGATTGATTCACATGTCAGTTTATAAAGGTAATGCCAATTTTTATTTTCTTTGACATGTCTTGCAGTTGATGTGTCTGTAGTAGATTTAAGAATGAGCAAGAGGGGGAGGAGGAGAAACAGCAGGAGGAGGAAGAGCTCCAGCAGCAATAAACGTGAGTTGGAGCTTTGGGTGGAGTGGAAGGGGTGGTGAAGTTAATCTTGAGCTTATCTGAGTCACGTTTTCCCCACACCTGCATATAGTTTACCACTGCTACCGATAGGGCATGTGCTCAGTAAATCAGGATCAGCCAGTCCTCATTATTAAACTCATGCTGGCCACAATATTCTCCAACAACCTAATTACCACCAGCAATTCAGCATTTTTCAATTTTGCTCAGTGAAATAAAATGAAAACAGACTGAAAAAGCACAATGTAAAAAGAAATGCACACTCACACTCAAAAACAAGAGTATCTGCTTGGTGTGGGTATGTTTTTTCAGGTAGTGGTTCGGTAATGTATTATGATCAGCAAACATGTGAGTGTGCATTTTTAGCAGATGACTGTGTAAGGGCATAATTCTAGTGTGTTTTTTTTTTCAGCTTTCCATGTAGAGGCTTCAAATCATCAATCATCAAACATTTAGCAGTTAGCCATTGGACAGTAACAGTGACCCCTGTTGTAAGCTTATTATTTAAAACCTGCAGTAGCACTACATTCTTTTCTGCAGAACAAATGGAACCTGTATGGGGTTATATCCCTATCTTTAATTAAGAGCATGCTGGTTTACTGGTGTAGCAGTTGTTATTTGGTGCTCAGGCATAGAGCTGCTGTGCATGAAATTCTTGGCAAGGCTATGGCAAGTAGCCAGGTACAGTTCATGTGATGTCCAACATCACGCAAGACAAACACCATTTGCCATTTATGTGAGGATGAGCAGTTCTCTGATCTTAATGTCGGACCAATATTCTAGATGTGAAATAGAATGCAAATTTCCTTTTTTTTCTTTTCTTTTTTTATTTTTTACCCAGTACTGTATTGATATCATGTGTTTGCACAACTGTAATATAAACTGTGCTATATGTCGTACTAATTTAGTGTGAAGAAAAAAGTCTTGGTTTGTGTAGTGGAATTTGTATTTTGTGCAGATTTCTGTACAACTCAATGGTCTTTCCCTGCAGAACATATTTCCAAATGCTCTAAATCACTAAATATTCTTAATATACAACTGCTATCATTATTTTGATATATTTAACATAAAGTTTGTTGTTTTTCCACTTTCAGAGAGCATCTCACCATACACCTTTCAAAAGCAGAACAAAAGCAACAGCGTCAGCTACAAAGATGATATTGTTGAAAAGGGTGAAACTGACTGTCTTCGAAAGGAAAATGTTTTGTCAGGATCTGACAATGAGGAGAAATGCAACAATTCGCCACCCAAAGAGAAAAGATTTCAACAAAATTATCATGTGAATTCATTCCCAAAACAAAAGAGTATTTATACCAAAACCACAGAAGACAAAGAGAAAGGAGTGAAGATAGTAACATCAGTGTCTGTCAGTGACATGGAAGATTCAGCCCCAAAGATTGTGTTTCAGCAGTCACATGAGCCCTTGTCTGAAAATCTGACTCACTCATCAACACCAATCACTAACATCATGAACATTAACTGTACCAGGTCACATGTAAAATTTGAAATTCAAGAAATTCTACAAATGAATACTTTTGGCTTCAATACCACATTTGTTTTAATGGATGAAAATGGGGACAGTGCTGAGAGGATTTTTAAGAACAAATGTGAGACAACGTGGACACCAAACAATGATTCACTGGAGCAGTCATCACAACATGTAGCCAACCACAATGAAAGTCAAAACACAAATTACAGACTTTCCTTTGGTGGCGTGAATGAACAGACTGGGGCTCAAAATGATTCCAAGTCTGTCAGTCCTACAAAAATATGGACCAGTCCAAGCTACTGTCAGTGTTGCAGTGATCACAACCAACAAATATCAGTGGACCTTATGCTGGGAAATCCTCCATCAAGCCCACCACTGCAGTTTAATATCATACCTCAAGTGAAGAGAAAACTGTTTCACAAAAGCTTCAGTAATGATCAGTCCTGGGATGTTCCTCCACCCCAAGAGTTTTCAGACATTAAATATACCAGTTTAGAAGACCTAACACTTGGCCTGGCTTCCTGTAGGATAAACGCTTGTCCTGTTAACAAACAGCAAGGGGACTTTCATCTGGCACCAAACATAACTTATAATGAAGAATCTGGAAGCCCATTTTCTGTAGAAGCAGAGGAAAAAGCAGATGTGGCACCTTCTTTTGATCATTTATCAGAATCTGACAACTATGGGCCCATGTTCATGAGACCATCCTTGTCTACCAACAGGTCCAGCTTCACCAAAGAATTTATCATCTATCAAAAGAGAAAATCCTGGATAAGAAACAACAGTATTGCCACTGTAGATCACAGAGCATGCTTGTTACCAAAGAAAAGACGCCATACATTTCCTGGGGGTCTGGGATTGATGCAAGAGGCTCTTCTGCTGCCCAATAGCGAAACATTTTCTTCTTTCATCATGTGCTCGCTCCCTCTCCAAACTGAGAGGCTGGGAATGGTTCACCAGGACAGTGAAAGGTTTCCTGCATTTGGAAGAGGAAATGATAATTCTTCACAAATCAAGGGCAGTTCAAAATATATTTCAGAAATCCCAAATGGCCATGATGGAAAGCAATCATTCAGTTCATTCTATATAGCCAGCTCTGAAAATAATCCTAATGATATGTTCACTGTCCATGACCAATGTCGTAGGCAAAGCACCATGAGATACCACCATAAAGATCTTGGACAATGGGACACCGACTTAAAACAGAGAATCTCTATAAACATGGAAAGTTTGGACACTGATGATTCAGAATATAAAGTTGATCAAAGTGAAGTAGCAGACAGTGGATTTGACCAAGACATGGGGGAAGTAGAATATCACAGTGCAGAACCCCTTACAGAGCTCAGTCAAAGAGCCCTTGCTATGCAAGTCATCCCTCCATCCTGCAGTGGCTCAGAGGAACAAATGCTACAAAGGCATCCTGCAATGTTATTCCAGAACTATGAGGTTGAAAATGACAACCAAGAGGGTTCAGTGTCACTTTTACCCCCACACAAGTCCTCAGTCAGGACAGTAACTCTTGGTGTGCTCGAGCAAAGATTCCTACGAATGGACTCAAGACCGGCACTGGCTACTCAAATAGAAAAACATCCTAGTTCTGCTTTGGAAGACCCCTGCATGTCCCCTTTGCAGAATACAGATGTTCATTCATTAAACACAAATGATGTTATAGAGGAGACTGAACCTAAAGGATTTGGTGGGAAAAAAGGAAACACAAGCCCTGCTCTACCACTGATGCCTGAGGAGACTAATGATCTGCAGTTGGACAGAGGAGGAAGAGGTACAGAGGATTCAGACAAACCTACAGTTGCTTTGTTATCTCCTGCCCGATGTTTTACAGACACAGAGATCCACTCAAAAGACCAGCTCAATAAAACCAGCAAGACAGAAACACAGATTATATCCATCTGTAAGTCAGTAATGCTTGCCAGTTGCTTTCAAACAAATAATGAACCAATTTCAAGTGAATATTTATATAAAACCCACCTCTTGTGACTGTTCATTGTCATTTCCAGCTTCCTTAGAGGCCAAAGAGCATCTGAAACCTGTGGTACATAAAGACCCAGAGAGCAGTGGCTTTGACCGCTGGGCCAGGAGGCGAAAACTTTTCAAGGAGAGCAAACACCGGAGCCCTGCTGGAGGAAGCTCAATAACCAGTGACATTACAGAGGAGTCTGGTAACTTTGGGGCTGAGCGGGGATATATCTCTAAGAGTTAACTTAATTATTGCTATATAGAATGACCAAGTGCTAGTACAATAGAAATGTAACTTGGTACATTCAAATACATTACTTGAGTACACTTTTGTGGCCCCTATGTATTCTCACCATAGTTCATTTATAGAGAATGCCACCATCAGATCTGGCTTTCATTGGTCATCTGTCTCTGTTGCAAAGTTGCCATGTAATGTGTTAAAAAGAAAATCTATCACACCTTAACCATTAGATAATTAATTAAAAACTAATCTATCAGGGGAAATGTATTTTGCTTCTGTTTTCTTCCCTCGTGTGTGCAGGAAGAGGCAAATAAAGAATGAGTTATAGGATGGTGAATGCATTTTGAATGTGCATAGTGTAATGAAAAAAAGCATCATAATGTCCAGGTCAGTGTCAGATGATCATGGCAGCAAATCTGACAAAGCAATCAGATGAAGCACTGGTTTCAGAAATTTTAATTATATAGAATTATGTTACTATGTTGAAATGTCTAATTGTACTGCAGGTATGGTACAATTAGACTGCAGGTGGAACTCGCCTGTCATCTTCTGGCAGAAAAGAACCAGAATTAACTGCTTCACAGTTGAATGCCTCCGGCATCCAGTCAAATTCAGGAGGATGAGACAGAAGTGAAGTCACTAGCCTTGACCTTTGACCATCAAAATCTAATTGGTTCATCTTTGATTCCAAGTGAACACTTGTACCAAATTTGAAGAAATTCAAGGTGTTCCATTTGTACAGATGGAAAGACAACCCGAAAACATAATAAAAAACTAAAAGGGAAGGTCTTAATACATGCAAGTCTTTTTCTTTGCTTCTGTCTTGTTGATCATTGAAGGTCAGCTGTCCTTTTACCTCATTTGTTCCATAGTCCCTCTCTTATTCATCTAGGTGGAAGACTTTATTTAATACATGTGCATTTAACATACTCTGTTTTTGTCCAGTATCAGAGGACACAAGCTCTATGGATGTGACAGTTCAAGACAGTGAAGACAGGGGCTTTTATACAGAGACTTTCCACTTTTCAGCATGGATTTACCAAGGAGACAACGTAGGCTCAGGGGCCATTCCTCCCAGCCTCAACACCAGAACTCGAGCTGTCTCAAGTAAGCTGGAGATTTTGTGATTTTACATGATAATTCAGCTCATTGTCACAGGGAAAATGCATTTTGGATTGAAACCTATACGCTCTTCAGTGGAATTATTTAATACTTGCTTTAAAAGGTGGGTCAAACATAGTGCAGAGGCAATGCTGTAGACTGAACTATACAAACACAGCAGTGAATTCAACTGTCTCCCCTTCTCCCAGTTCGCGAGAGGACTGTCAAGATAAGCAAAGGGACAGGAGAATATCCTTGGGGCTTTCGAATACAGTTTTCTAAACCCATTGTGGTCACAGAGGTTGACACAAGTAAGTAAATTGTTTTCTTGCAGTGTTGTCCAATCTAGGTCTAATCTCTGAACTGAGGCATTTGGTTTTCTTAGTTGTTGGTATTCAGGCATTTACAGTACTTAAAGGGGCCACCTCACATAACGGTTAAAGCTTTTACTCCTCTGAAAAACTGATCAATCGTATTCAGACCTTAAAACTCCATTTTAGTTCAGCTACTTCTGAGTGGCTATAGTTAAGGCAAGATGACTGGGTGAGATGACGCAACACTACCATGTATTGCTTCTTTGTGCGTGCATAGAGCAAATCAGGTAGGGCAGTACAGATCAGGTAGTGATAGGAGGAAACCCACATAGACATATGGAAACCTGCGTACATAGAGAGACTTCCTGGAGTCTTGTCACTGTGACACTGCCGGGCAACAAGCTGAAAATGTTTGTTCACTAAGGATGTCTGTTCATTTGTTATAGTTCAGGTCTTTGTGTTTGCACTGTAAGCTAAGTGTTTACACATCAATGGTTTCAGATGGGGCTGCTGAGGAAGCAGGGTTGATGGTAGGAGACTATGTCCTAACTGTCAATGGAACAGATGTCACCAGCATTTCTCATTCTGAGGCTGCCGATTTAGCCAGGCAAGGTATGCTATTTCCAGATAATGGGTGATAATAACAGCACACTGTCTCCACAAAGTATCTTTTTGTAATGTATAAGCTGATGTTTCAGCACTCAGAGACTCTCAGAATGCTTGGTTAAGGTTAGGAACACATAGCAGGGATTTGAGCCGACATGTCTAATGTATGACTCTTAATTATGTTTTAAACTATCTTTTTAGAACAGAATAGTTAGTGTTTGAGTAAGAAATTCAAATACATAAATTAATTTTAATTAATTTGGTGTTGTTGATATTGTAGGACCAGATGTTCTAACTCTGACCATTGGGTCAGACATCGCTCGTGGTCCTAACACCCCGCGACCAGCATGTCGTGGTTATCTTTACAAGCGCACCCAGTCTGGTCTGATCAAAGGCTGGAGGAAGAGGTGGTTTGTACTCACACATGACTGCTGCCTTTACTACTACAGACACAAACGGGTAAGCATGGAACAGTCATCATTATGTGTTCCAGCTTCTGAAAACACACACATATTTTGGCATTATTTCATGTTCATTACAGGATGAAGGCAAGAGGCGGGCTATCTCAGCAGTAAAGCTGGAAGGGGCTGAGGTGGGACAAGATATTTCCCTGGGAAAGCAATTTGTATTCAAGTGCCACCCTCAGTCTGGTAGTCGAGTGTACTTCTTCTGTGCCACTTCCAGTCAGGAGATGAAAAGGTATAGTGTGATTAAAAAATGTCTAATTCATATTTAATTTTTAAACAGAGCTGCAGCAGTTTGCCAATTAATTAAATAATATAAAATAACTTACAAAAAGAAAATTAAGTGACAGCCATTTTGAAAATATGAAACTCTATAATCACCCATAAGATAGTTATTGTGGTTGGGTGAGAAAATCTGGTGTGTTCAATCAAGACAAATCCTGAAGGTGCATTCATATAAAAAGTCTTCTGTCGCTCACAGTTGTGTGCACTTTTGTATTTATTGGTTTCAAATATCAACGGTGATCATCATGCTTGTGACTTCAGGTGGCTGGAAGCTATGAAGAAAGCTATTCATCCTATTACACAGGTAACATCTAAACCTGTCATGAACCAAGCAGAACTATATTTAGAACATTTTGCATGTTATCATGTTATGATTGCATGTTATCATGGCTGTCATATTAATTGCATAGGTTGTTGCTCACTCTGGCTTGTCGCTTGTCATATTTAGCTCTCAGGTTAACAATCTCCTCAATTACTTGTCATGTTTTAGAACCACGTGTGGGTGGATGTCACCAGACACAACTCTAATCTGCCCCCGCTGGCTGTGAAGAATCCAGAGTGTCTTGGATTGCTTCATAAAATGGACAAAAACAAAGACATGTGGGTACAGCACTACTGTGTTCTGAAGGATGGTTGCCTCTACTTGTACAGTGGCATCCGTGCAACTCATGCGCAAGGTATGGATACATGTCATGTTTCATATGTTAAGATGAACACAGTAGCATTTTTGTGGGTGTACATAATCTAAATTAAGGCAGTGGGATAAAAGTTTTTGATCTGTTTCACACCACCTACTAGACAGCACTCAGAGAAGGCAACCTCTGTCCCCATCATGCTAATACACATAAAAATAGTATTCCCATGATAGTTTGACCCTTATAATATAATTGCTTGACCATCAAAACCTACTGCTGGTATTGGAATGATGCTGATATCATTATTAGTTTGAAAGTTATTCAAGAAAAACAATAGACATAACAGACAATCAGTCATTGGTTTAGGAATAAAACAGGGACTTCAGTAAGTGGATGTGGGCAAAGCTGTGTAGACGTCACATTTCTGCAAGTATGTGTTCTGTCTTTTCAACTGCTGTTTGATAAACTGCTCATACAGGCTCCGTTACTGGCTGATTGTTGCAGTATGGAAGCACTTCACATCCTGTGCTCTCCCTCTACTCATCTGTGAGTGTGTGTGAGGAGCACAACCCTCCCTCCTCTAAACAGAAACCAGCACAGGGCAAAATACAGTGGAAAAGCAAAGTAGGATGGTCCTTGACAACCTGTGAAGTTATGCCAGGTGCTCTGAACGAGATGTAGCCGCCTGCTAATAGCTGTGTCAGACAATGAGCACTCACATCTCTGAAAACATTGGGACAAATTTTTAAATTGGCATTACCTAGATAGACTGACCACATATTCTCAATCTAAGTAGTTACTGTGTCACCTGAAAAAATGTCAAAACCTAATGAAATGGCACAATACTAGTCCTATGGATGAAAATGATAACAGCTTAGAGCCTGGATCAAAATCTCTGCCATCATGCTCTCACCCAGCTGTCACTGCATAAAGTAGACCTTTCCCCAGTTTCTGGGTTGTGGCCTCGCTGGGCTCCTTCAGTCTCTTTCTCACACAGTGGGGTGAACTGAGTGGCAGGATTTATATGGCTGATGTCTGGGTCGGTTTGTCCCTGTTTTCACCTGCTATAAGACAACTTCAGCCAGTCGCAACAAGTGACATCCCACATGGTAACAGCCACCTGGCAACCTACATGACATGATGAGGTGGTTGCATCCTCACATGTATTTGCTGTCATCTGGTTCTCATGTGATGAGACCTACCATCAAAAGAACAGGGGTGACAGTCTTAAGTTCATGTTGCTGTACGTGTAGAGACGAGACAACTTCATCAGCAATGTTTTGGCATTTCATGTTGGATCACTGTGGCATGGTCTAAGTAGAAAGGTCTTCACTTACAGTATAATGTTACTGAGTGTACCTGCTATACATCTGCATCACATCACTCTTTTTCACATCTCCCTTTTCCTGGCCCAGTTTTATATATTTGACTACTATGTTGATCGGCACACATCATCGTCTGTGTCTTCAGGTGGGATCTACCTACAGGGTTACATTGTACGAGAGCAGCCATATGGATCCAAGAAATCCACCATTGAGTTGAAACCCCCATCTGATGAGTTCAAGACATTCTACCTCTGTGCTGAAAATCCTAATGAGAATAAACGGTAAGGAACTAACTCTGATTTTCATTTGGAAAATACAATGGTTCACCCTAACCTGATTTAACATGCCCATTATACAGTATCTTACAAAATGAGTCACAAGCCAGTCACTGGCTCACAACCATGTCCTGCACAATATACCACTTTGTTGTGGTTTGTGAATTTTCTATTATCTTTTTTTATATATATTAATCTTTGAACCTTCATATCGATATCCTCTGCTACACCTATGCTGTTTCAGTATATTCTAATTTGGACAACTTTAGTCACACTGAGGTGTGAGGTCACAGGTTTTGACTGGGACTTTATATGGTAGCAGGAGATAATGCAAATCAAACATCTACAGTACAGCATGTATTGTCAAGGAAAGACAGGAAAAGCAATGTATTTGTCACTGAGTGCTACTGTCATATCAAATTTGGTCTGCCCAACAGCATTTGGACATACACTAGTTAATTTTTTATTCAGAAAGTACCTTTTTCTGATGCTAAAGTCAAGTTAAATGTATTTGTAGAGCACATTTAAAAAACAGAAATTAACCAAAGGGCAAATAAGCAGTATGCACTTCTTTACAGGAAGAAGTTAAAACGGCAGTCAGAAATTAAAGCAAGAAAAACAAACAAAAGTAAAGTTTTGGAAATAAAGTAAGTAATTATTCAATTAATTATTGTGTGGACTCAAAAGCAACTCAATAGCATTCCCACTGAGCCTTGTGCCACCATAACTTTATATTTGTCTAAATTATCACATACAATAAACTTATCTGGGTTTACATGGTGATCTGCAACACAAAGTATATGTTCTAGAGTAGAGTACAGTAGGTACTTTATTGATCCCACAGTTGGGAAATTTCTGTGTTACAGCAGCAATAGAGAACAACCAACATAACGCCATAAGAACAGACACATAAGAACAGAACTTCATAAAAACACAGAAAAGAACACAACAAGGACACAGCTGCTGTAACTTGCTGCCACTCCACGCGGTGCATGCGTACGTAAGTACGTAGTAACAAAGAACACTTAGTCTTAAAATAAACAGTTACATAAAGGCAACAAAGCATTAGAACCGATACACACAAGAATTGTAAAAGTAGCGTCATCAGAACGTTACATTTTACACAGCACAAATAAGCAAATAAAAGGCACCTAAAACAGGGCAAAGCAGCACTGGAGAGAATCAGGACCAGCAGTAGAGACTAAACAAAAAGTCTTGCGCTAAAGGAACTGTTCAGAGCCACCACTGTGTGGTGCAGGGGATGGGTGGGGTTATGCATGATGGATGTTAGTTTTACCAGCATCCTTCTGTCCGCCACCTCCTCGATGGAATCCAGAGAGCAGTCCAGGACAGAACCAGCTCTCTTAACCAGCTTGTTGAATCTCTTTCTGTCCCTGACCGTGCTACCTCCCACCCAACCCACAACAGCGTAAAAAACTGCAGATGCCACCACAGAATCATAAAATGACTGAAGGAGTGCTCTGTACACCAAAGGACCTCAGCCTCCTCAACAAGTTGAGGCGGCTTTGGCCCTTCCTGTACAGGGCATCTACTGTTGTCCATTTTGTGTAGGTTAATTTAGGATTGTGGGTTCATGCTTTCGGATGCTGTATGCAACCTTATGGATTACTCTCTATAAGTGTGCTGACCTTTAAGAATGATTTTCTTTACTTGCCCATCTCCAACCATGATTCCACCCCCTGGATGGAAGACAATGGGTGAATTCCATTTCCCTTAATTAAATATTTTCCAGGTGTCTCAGTCCTGCCTGCATAAGATATGCTGAAAGATGCAAGGAAAAAATGTGAGGAGAAAGGAATTTAGAACACAAGATGTGCTGTCGTGGGCGTGTCGGCCCACAAATAAACTTCCGTGAAGGATGCTCTAGTGTGTCTTCTCTCATGGTTCCTCTAGCAGCCTTTTCACTCCTCAGAGCAGGAATAAGGGCTTTGGGACATCCTTTATGATCGTGGATCAGAATGACTTCTCAGTCAAGCGAGAACTGAAATGCATGGAATGATAGATTAAGGGAACTGAGATTTAACCCCAGAAAATACACATGTTGGCCAGTTTCTGTGACCCATGAACCACTGGTAGGGCAGGAAACAGTATCCTCAACAGTGGCCAACCTGTGGCCCAGCCCTGCTTTGCCACAGGCCAAAAAATATTCCCAGGCCATATGATTGGATGACACAACCTCAATTTGGTATTGCTACAGAAACTTACTTGTTTGTGCAGCTTAAGTACTGAATAATTTTTATCCATACCCAGCCCACATCAAGCTCCTAGCGTAGAAAGTGGTGTAATCCAGTTGAAAACCTTAAGAACAGATTTTGACATGTTATTGTTTCTGATGTTCTTTACAGATGGATCATCGCTATCAAAGCTTCAATAAAGAATTGGCTGCCTTTACATCAGGCCCTTCAGGACTACATGAATCGACCACCAGAAGAGACCAGAATGTGAATGGTACTGACTCACTGGATGAGCCTCCTGTTTGTAGACTACTACACTCTGGTCTCTACACTCTTTTCAGTCAGGAAAATGTTGCTGTTTCAGAGAATTAGTTCACAGTTATTAGTCCCCTCAAGTTTATATCTGCTCATTTATATCCAGCTCAAAGGACAATATCTAGTTTGTCAATGTGTAGAGGGATGAGCACAAACACGTTACTTTATATTGTGCACTTAATCTCTGTTTTCCTGAGTTGCTTTTCTTTTGTTATACAATTTTTAATTTATATTAATTTACATATATTATCTGTTGTTAAAATACAATTTACCATTGTGTCTTCTTTCTTTCCTTTTTGTGTGAAATTGTCCTTTACATGTTCTATATTCCTGTCTGTTACATAAGCAGTCAGAGGGTTTAGGATGTTGTGCATTATATTTTGAGAATTTCCCAAAAAATTGAGATGTTTCATTAAATACATTTTGCAGTAGTTTGTAGGTAGTTCAGCTACATTCATATCTGCCAAATGATTTCAGTAGGTAAATAACTTTGCTATTTTTTTATGTATGGTAATTAACTACCAAAATTACACTAATTTGGGCCATAAAAGGAAAGGAAAGATTTTTTCTTAAAGTTTAATTTTACCCTCTGAGTCCCTGAAAAATTGACTTAAAGTCAAACAATACAACATGCATAAAAATAAATGGTCAGGCAAAAATTAAGGTTGCTGTTAAAATATAACATTTAAACCATGGTAAGAAAAACATTATTATTATTATTATTATGAGTAAAACATAATGAAACATTATTAATCTGTTTAAAAAATACTATCCCAACTGTATGATGCTTTGTCCTAGGGGGCGCTATTTGGTCTGTACACAACCTCAGCAAATTATACATACTGTAGGTATCCTGATTGTATTTGTCCGTCTAAACAACAAAATGATAATTTTTAAGGGTTGTCATCAATAAACAAGACACAGAACTGGGTCAGATTTGTGACTGTGGCTCCAAAGTGTTTTCTACACTGAAGTACTAGTACAGGTACCTGTATAGTTTAGCTAAACACTCCATATATTATGCACCGTGTACCTGTGAGTAACAATGTGTGTGTACTCTAACATTTAAAGAGTTACCTTCTAAAGGAGCACAGGGTGAAGACTGTAATCAAAAGCGCTGGAGAACAATAACTTTAGTATTTGGGGTAAATTATTTTCAGGCTTGTGCACAAAACAGAGCATCTGGTAAGGGGTTAAGAGTTTAACTGTGGCTTGGTACCACCTCATTTAAAATAAATGTTGCTAAATTCTGATTGGTGCGTGGTAACATGTTGAGCCCCACTTCAAACTAGTGAAAGGGCTCAGATGAAAAACTCTCTCCTGAAGAATAACCAATACAGTTTGAGCTTAGAAAAAAAATGTTTATGTGGGAGCCCACCATGATCGAAGTGAGGGAATAGGTTTTCAGAATTTTAGTGTCAGTGTTTGGTAGTCATCACCTTGAAGCTTAAACCACTTGGAGATTTTCACTGGAGGATGCAATCACTCATCAGACAGAAACAAAAAAACTGTAAGCTTCCTTTGAATCTTTTGAGATCTGTTTGAAATAAGCTTTAATCATCTAACAGTCATTGGTTAACATCAAGTTTACATTTGCTGTTTGGCTGAAGGTATTAATAGCAGTGCATAAGAGTGACTTTACATACAGCATACAGTGAAATGGTTCACACACCCCTTGAGTTTTAAATCAAACTTTCAAAATGTCTGAAAATATTTTATTGATATTAGTCACTGTTTAACATATAAATTACTTTTATGTGAATAGTGTCTATTATATTGATATAATACGCAAACTATTTCACCTCTAGCAGTAAAATCTCCTCCCACGATAACCTGTTTACATATAATTTTGTGTGCGATTCTGACAATAGCGTTCAATGTCATAGCTCAATTCTACTCCTTAATCTTTACTTTCCTGTAATAGCATTAGCAACATGACATCCATGTTTATATTCTGTATCTTCAAGAACAGCAGCCATTATAGCACAACAAGATAGAAGTACAGCTGTACCCAGCAACAGAAACTTATTTTATTTACTAAATAAAAAATACAGTAAATAAGGGGAGCACAATAAAGGAAAGACTATTTCCAGCTGATGTATCTACAAGGTCTAGATTCCAGCTTGCAGTTTAATTGTTGCCTCAAAATGTCATGATACATCTAAGACCAACACTTCCCATCTTTTGCTGCTCAGATTATATTCAGATTAGATATATATATGGGCCTACTGATAGTGCCTGCTGTTAAAACTGTTCTTTGTTCTCCAACAAATGTTAAGAAAATATCTAAGTGGAATTTCAGTGAATTTTAAGATATAGTATAAAATTCAGGTCGGTAGGACGCAGGCTTCTTCCAAATGAAATGCAAAATTTAAACAAATTTCCAGAAAGTCATCACAGCAAAATGTAAATTCATCCATTCCATTCACTACTGTTATGCAAATATTTGGCCACATCAAGATGAACAGTCGGTGCCACTACAAAAGAAGCCTGTACAATAAGGTTAGAAAAGCACCAGGCAGCTCTCAAGCTGTGAAAAACCACGTTTCATGTATGATCGTGAGGCAACTTAGTCTCCTTATCGCGTCACATAAATGTGGTGTTTTTTCCCAGTTTCCACTGCACTTGTGCTTTCATCAATAGACCAACTTCTTCCCCTCAGACAAGCGGAAAAACTTTGATATTTGGACTGTTTTAATTTGCTGTGTTTCCACTCAGGCCTTTTTGTATGTAAATTAAAAATGCAGTAAGAGCTGGTGGAAAGCATTCACAGAAAACATGACAGACACCTGCTGCTCCACTGTATCTATGGACACAAATCTTATTTTGATCATCACAACATTCACTTAATGTGTACGTATTATGATATTCGTGGAATATTAAAAGAAATGTCTGACTCTGGTGACTTAGAGGTGATATCACAAAAAGACACTGGCGGACAGTAACGCGCATTGACAGTGCTCCTGTGGATCTGAGATCAGTGGGCTCCAAGTAACACACGAACTGTATCGATTTTACTCATCAGAACAAGTTGAAAGATTCCATTAACACATAAAAAAAAATAAAAATAAAAATCAACACCGAGGTGTCAAATGTTAAACATTCATAAAATTAGTGGAAAACTCTACTGATTTAGTGTAATAGGAAACAGTGGGACAAAAAAAAAAAATCATAATTTCTTTTCAAGACCACACTAAATTGTGCAAAAACTCAAGGGGTGTGCAGATTTTTCCACAAAACTGTAAGTGTTCTCATGGCTTGTTTATGTACGGTATTGCAGCGTTAACTGTGAATGCCTAATTGGTGCCATGGTGGTGCCACAATCTCAAGGTGCGCTGACATTTCCAGAGAGTGTTTGTCCAGCAGTGCAATTAGATGCAGAAAACAAATTCTTTGCAGTAGAGGCCTTGGAAACACTCATTACCAGCTGTAAGGCAAACACACACACACACACACACACACACACACACACCATGTAGGCACGTTACTCCTGTTACCAACATAAATTCAAACTGACAACAGTTCTCTGTGAAGGATCAAGTTCCAACAGCCAACTTTCACACTTCCTGTACGGATGTTTTCCAAGTCTATCTTAATATTATACAATGCCATATGTACACTAAAAGAGTTTTTGATTGCAATAATATCCAGTCCTTGTTTTGTGTAAAAATACATTCTTAGGTTCAGCTGCAGTTAAAATGAAGTCTCAGGTAGACAAACTGGAAAATGGCATCTGTCCCTCATATATTATAGCCACATTAGGAAGTGATAAATCAGGGGTATCCTGATGCCTAGTGGCCCACGAGCGGATCACATAAAAGTCTCTGTTTGACTCCGGCGGGGGACCTATGTTGCATCTCTCCTCTCCCTCTGTGCATGACAGAGGAATGATTACAGCAACTAATAACTCTTTAAATGTACATATAGCTTGTGAGTATTATATTAAGATCATCTTAAAAAGAATCTTTACCTATAATTTAATAAACAGATTTTAAATG